GGGTGAGCGGATCTGATTGTTGGGCCATAGGTAATGTAGGGTAATTTAGAGATTATGTAGGGTCGTAAACAGCCCAATAGATTGAACGTGTTGCTTTTGGGATAAATAAATAAATAAATAATTATATTGGGTTGTTCACGACCCGACGCATTGGCGCTTGGATTCACGGATCTAATGATAAAAAAAAAAGAAAAGAGGGCGACGCCTTGAGAGTATCATCATCATCGCTGAACTGACTGGCCCCAGGTAATTCAGAATGAATTTGTTCTGGTTATCTGGTGGTATATTTGGATTCAAAGTTGGGTCTGCATGTCAGCAGTTTATGGGTGTACCAACTGAGCTAGGCCCATTGGTGATGATGGGTCTTAAGTTTTGCCACTTCGTTTTCGTCCTTTTTTTTTTTTTGTTTTTGTTTTGTTTGTTTTGTTTAAATGTGCCAGTGCCCAAGGCTAATGTTATGGATGAAAATCTGAGGCCGGGGTCCTCACAGTCTACCCGGAAACAAGAACCTGTGGGAGCATTACCCAGTTTCGCTTTTAACGAGACCCATCGGGACCCGGAGAGCCATGAAAAGGCGAATTATAACCTTTCTCTTCAAAAATAGCCAAAATTATGTACCTTACCAAACCTAGATGAGCCGCTCCCCCCCTGCTCCAACAAGGCCTAACTATGTACCGTCTGTAATTGGGTAAGCTGAGTTCTACATAACAAAGGAAAGAGCTGCTACTAACAAATCAAGATTCAACCAAACCTATTCTACCACCCATACTTATTCTATTTGGCCTAAAATCGGCCAGCATCTTACTTCCAAGTGGCTGTGCTAATTCCATGCGAATTAGTACAGAGAAGCATGTGCCCATTACTCCAGCAATTGCACCAGGCAAAGGCGGAGCTGGTCGAAGTAGTAAGGTCAATTATCCTCTAAGCTAGTCATAAACTCTCTGCGGATTTAGCAAGCATGACGGATACGGAGGCGAGAGGACAAGTGATCAAGGCCTTTCGAGACCATTGGTTGGACCCTCACGGCCGGTTAGCAGAAGTCCAAGAAAACGGGAGACTTCGGTGGAAGAACTGGGTGGCGGAGGACAGTACGTGGACCTATAGCTCAATGGACTGTTTCCACACTCCGCTACCAGGACATCCGGCTATGGCATTGGCTAACCGGCAGCCTTTCCAGACACCCAATGTGGCCCCCGATCCCTTCTCCCCTTCCTCCCCACCCTCGATCCCCCACCTGCGGTCACAGATCCCCCCTGAAACGCTCTCTGTGCCTTCCCCCCTCCTGTGCTCCCCTCCGCCCCCCATTCCCACACCCCCCCCTCCCATCCCGACTGGCTCTCCGCCTGCCACCCCTCCCCGACCACCGGAGCCTCTAATGGGTGCACCGCCTCCTCTGCCGCCCCCCCCGCTCTCCTTCCCAGTGGCATCCTCTCCTTCCCCCCTACCTGGCCAGCCGGGCCAAGCAATGTGCCTACAGAAGTTAGAGGGTAACCAGTGGGAGGTCAACGACAGCAGCATCCCGATATTCTCACCGCTTCCTTACCTGAACGAATACGACCTCTCCTGGGGTGCAGGGGCTGGGGGAGGGATCCCAGAGCAGATGGGCATGCAGAGGGAGATAACAAGGGGCAACCTGCGACAACGGTCTCCTACTACCCCAGGGAATGGGCTGCGTTGATATAATGCAGCATACATAGGCAACCAAGTATTTAGGGCTCTCCTCTGGTACAGGGGCCAAGAGAGGGGCTCTACAACAGGATGGAAGGTGGTTGGGGACCATAATGGACAACCTGTGACAACGGACTCCTACTGCTGCAGGGGACGGACCGTACGTTCTTGGGCGGGTTCTGAGAGGGTATTGGTTTAATGGGTTGATTGGTTAGACACACATATATCCAACTARGGGGGCTGCTGAGACAGGGCTGGGCTATTAGATAAGGGGTGCTCCTGAGAAGGGTTGGGTGACACTAGCAGCTCCAAGGGGTATTGGAGCCTCAAGTTGAGTTTGAATTGGCCACAGCCCTGGGGAACAACAAACAGTTATCTTTGTATAACACGATGTATCAAAGGGACGCTGGACCCGGTTTCCAGCAGGTGCAGCTCCCCACCAATTGATGGAGCCTCCCCGATGGTGCTAGATGTGTCTGCTCTTATCAGCACACCTAGCATCCGATCGGGTTGTTCTCTTTAAAAAAAAAAAAAAAAAAAAAAGATAAGATATAAAGTACCTATATCCTTGTGGCATTATGAGTGCAGCCAGTCTGCGAAGTTTAGGTTTCCCTCTGCAGAGATTGACAGGCAACCACCATTTCTGGCCCATGTCTGCG